GCATGGGAGAAGCGGGGGTTTCCAGGCGAAGGTGGCCGGCGGGGGTGTCGGGGTGGGGGGGGGTCACTCATGGCCTCGACGTTGCCGCCAGACCCAGCACGGCCGCTGCAGTGCCGAGCAGCGCGCTGACGCCTGCACCGGCATATGGGGACAACAGGGTTTTTGCTGATGCTTGTTGCCGCCACAGCGATGATGCACCATGCTACGTGACCAACTTTTAAAGACACAGCCCCCCCCCACCACTACTTCCCTCAAAGTCCATCTCTCTCCAAAGTCCATCTCTCTCCTTAACCCTGGTGCTGCTCTCTCCCACAGGTCAGCCCAAGGTCTCCCCCACCGTGCACCTCTTCCCACCATCCTCCGATGAGATTGCGCAGAAGAGCAAAGCCACCCTGGTGTGTCTGCTGGGCAACTTCTACCCCGGCGCTGCAGAGGTTGCCTGGAAGGCCGATGGCAGCCCCATCTCCAACGGTGTGGAGACCACCAAGCCCCAGAGGCAGAGCAACAACCAGTACATGGCCAGCAGCTACCTGACACTGACTGCCAGCGACTGGAAGAGCCACGAGACCTACACCTGCGAGGTCACGCACGATGGCAAGAGAATCGAGAAGGTCCTCAAGAGATCCGAGTGCTCCTCCTAACCCACCGGGAGCTCCACTGTCTCCTCTCCTCATCCCCCTCCACTTCCCCATCCCCATCCCCGTCCCCCCCCCCCCGGGGCTGTGGGGCGCCCCAGCCACTCTCCTTTGGCGCAGGTCCCTGCCGTCCCCCCTGTGCCCGGCCCCTCCGTCCTGTCCCTGTGCCCCACACTTGCCCCCGCACCCTGGGTGTCAGCCCAATAAACACAGACACTGAACTAGCGCTGGCTCTGTATCTGCGTCTCTCTCTCTCTGTCCTGCCTCCTTGGTCGAACGCGCTGTCGGGACCCTGCCACCAGCGTGGCCCCGAGGGGCTGAGTGCCGCTGTGCGCGTCCCTGCCCGCGGCCCCTCTTGGCTTGTGGCCCCAAGGAGCTGTTGGGTCATCCTGTCCCTCTTCTCCTCCTGCAGTGCAGCCCCCACCAGGCAACGAAATTGTAGCAGGCCCTGGCAAAGCCCCTTGAGAGCCTCCCCGGGGCAGGGAGGGGGGGTCCCTGAATCCCCAGGCAGCTCTGGAGCCACCGCCTCCCTGTCATTTATGCCTGGGCAGCCCAAGGTGGCTGCAGCGTGGGGGCACCGCTCACATCCCAGTCTCCGGAGCGCCGGAGGCTCTCAGCCCATCCCAGCTACCCGGCAGGACCCCACTGCCGGGCAATGCCCCACCGCCCCCACTTGCTGTTCCGGCTCCCGACACCATTGCCGGGGGCCTGCTGGGG